GTAGTCATTCAATTGGTCATGTGGGCAGGTCAGGGAAAGCAGAATGCTTCTTTTTGTAATTGTGGCTCGGTAGTCTTTTCTACTTGTACGTGTATGTGTACTAAATATTCCATGATTCCATGATTAGTGGTATTATAACAAAGTGGAAGCAACTGGGAACAACAGAAACTCAACCATGAAGTTGTAGGCTACGTAACATGACAGAGCAGGGTCAGCGCATGCTGAAGCGCACAGAGGTCGCCAACTGTCTGCAGAGTCAATAGCTACAGACCAGCAAACTTTGTGTGGCCTTCAGATTGGCACAAGAACAGTGCATAGAGAGCTTCATGGATTGGGTTTCCATGGACGAGAAGCTGCATTCAAGCCTTACATCACCAAGTGCAATGCAAAGCGCTGGATGCAGTGGTGTAAAGCACGCCGCCACTGGACTCTTGAGTGACGAATCACGCTTCTCTGTCTGGCAATCTGATAGGCGTGTCTGGGTTTGGCGGTTGCCAGGAGAACTGTACTTGCCTGACTGCATTGTGCCAAGTGTAAAGTTTGGTGGAGGGAGGATTATGGTGTGGGGTTGTTTTTCAGGGGTTGGGCTTGGTCCCTTAGTTCCAGTGAAGGGAACTCTTAAGGCATCAGCATACCAAGACATTTTGGACAATTTCATGCTCCCAACTTTGTGGGAACAGTTTGGGAATGGCCCCTACCTGTTCCAACATGACTGTTGCACAAAGCAAGGTCCATAAAGACATGGATGAGCAAATTTGGGGTGGAGGAACTTGACTGTCCTGCACAGAGTCCTGACCTCAACCCAATAGAACACCTTTGGGATGAATTAGAGCGGAGACGGTGAGCCAGGCCTCTCTCTGTCACTCACTCTGTCACTCACTCTGTCACTCACGCAGCTGGGCGGATCCCGTCGTCTAAGTCGGGATCCGCTCCGGCTGCGGCGTCTCAGTATACCGCGAGCTGTAGCGCACGGTATACTGAGCTTCGGGTAACGGGAGAACGCTAGTTTGCGTCCTTCCGTTACCCTAAGGAGAACTATGGGGAAAAACACTGACCCCATAGTTCTCCTTTAAAGATCTAGAAGCATCATATGTTAACGAGAGAAGCTCAGTTTGTCCCTGGTCTTTCTATGGGGACAACATAGTTTCCTATTTCGAAATTGAGAGATAAGGTTGCAAAGGGATGCTTAACAAACACATCTAAAATGTAAGAAATATTTTTTTTAAATATATATTTTAGGTATGATGTAAATAAGAACATATAGTGCAGTTTTCTCAAATTTGACTGCAGAAGTGGAAATACATGTTAAAGTAGAATTACATTTTACGTAGAAAA